ATTCCAGGGCAGGAGAATAGCTGCGTGATCGGGTGAGATAAGGGAGAGCATCTGTGGTCCATCCTGACTTTGTTCTGGTGACTAAATCAATATATCAGGAACTGAGTCAACATCTGTGGGTTGTATTTGCCTCAATTCCCAGAATGGAGTTATGTTTGAAGATTATTCACAAGGACACAGGAGGATGAGCAGTCCAGCATGTGTGTGTGTGGGTTACTGTCCCATTTCCAAGAGAGAGAGAGTGAGTGTAAGGTTTTAGAAAAATGTCTTAGGGTTGAGGAGGCTTACAAATGCATTTAGAGTCTTTCAAATAGGTATCCTACCACTTAAGACCTTATTAAACCTCATTCCTTTACCTCCCATACAGGAACCTCGCTTATAACTGAAAGCCCTATGCAGGGGCTGGAGAGATGATCAGCAGTTAAGAGCACTGGCTGCTCTCCCAAAGGACACAGGTTCAATTCCCAGAACTCATATGTCAGCTCACAACTGTCTCTCACTCCAATTCCAGGGTATCTGACACCCTCTCTCACACATATAGACAGATATGCAGGCAAAACGCCAATGCACATAAAAAATAAATTAAAAATAATATGATTTAAGTACCAAAAAAAAAAAAGCCCACTGCAAAGCTCAGTGACTCACATCTTATTCCTTTCGATGAGAGAAGAGGAGCTTTAGATGCAGGCTCTGCTACCATGGCTGCCTAGGCTGTCTGGCATAAGTGTGTTGGTGGGGACAGAGGAATTAGGACACCTGATTATTGCAGAATATTAAGCAGGTCCTCTCCAGAAGTTCACGGGCAGAACACAGAAGAAGCACATTAAGAAAGCAGCACTGCTGAGACGTCTCTGGAAGGGGGAAAATGATGCTGGGCTACGAGGAGATTTCAATTTCTACCTACACTGTTGTATTAGCATTTGAAAAATTTCAAAGAATTTTATATAATATATTCAAAATAGTAACTCAAACTTTAGTAAATAGATGCATGCTCCAACCTTGGGAAAGCCTGCTAGCACCTCTAGTGCAGTCATGAGTACTTCTCAAAATTACAGTGGTCTTTCAATTACATCAGTCACAAAGATATCAGGGCTGAGCTTGGAACACAACCTGCGTTATTATAAAAGGACACTGGATTCGAAGTGAGGTAAAGTTCTGGCTTAGTTGTTCACCTTCAGCAAATTAAAAAAACAACACTGGTTGGATGTAATAGATCATAACTTTAACCCTAGAACATGGGAGGCAGAGGCAGGTGATATCTGAGTTCAAGGCCAACCTAGTCTACAGAGCTAGTTCTAGAACGTCTAGGGCTGCACAGAGAAACCCTGCCTCGAAAAACCAACCAGTCAACCAGTCAACCAACCAACCATCCCGTCACTGGCCCTCAGTTTTCCTCAACTGTACAATGGGATAACACAGAGCACTTGCAGGTTGCTGTGAGAGTTAGTGAAGTGTATCACAGCAGTTTAGCAAATTCTCAAAGTGTTAGTGTTATCATCTGTAAATCATCATCATCATCATTGCCATCATACAATGGTTGCTCCCTTGTTCAGGCACTGGTAAGATAAATCACAGAAACAGAAAAGACAAGACACTGGAAAAGCCATGTCCAAGTTAACTAATTCTTGGTTATATAGTTCACCTATCACTTACTTTTTTCCCTATAAAATCAAAGCCTGCAACAAAGTAGAAATATAAATATGGGCTGGGGTGTAGCTTAAATGGCAGAATATTTGTTTAGCATGTGTAAGACCAAAGAGGAGGGGAAAAGAAAAACAGAACTAGTAGACAGGCTGCTGCAGGAAGCTCATTAACAGTGTAGCATGGATGAGGTAGGGAAAGGAGAAAAACAACCTATACATACAGATATAAAGGAGACAAGCTAAACAGTCAAACAAATAGCTAGGAACATTTCCTGCAGACATGTAACCAGAGCACTCTTGGTTGGATAGTTAAGTTATTTTTTCAAAGTGTACTAGAGGAATTCTCCAAAAATACTTAAAATGTGAGAAGTTTTGGTATCCAAAATAGTTTTTCATTCAAGAGAAGAGTGTCACTCTGTGAAACTGTTCAAAGACCAACAATGTTAGACAAATGCATTTGCTGCATGAGGACAAACAATGGAGCCCCCCAACCCCCTGTTTTTAAAACTATTCTTTCTAGGGAATTACCAGTATTAAAAAAATGTGGCTTTTCAAAAAGTCTTCAAGATTCTGTTGTAAGGAAATATCATAGCGAGGCTGAGAGAGCAGTGACAAGTGCACATCCAGCAGGGTTTAGGGTTCTTCACTCTCTACTCCAGAGACCCACAGTGAAATGAAGGAACAGAGCTGCTCACATCCCACAGCAGTGGTAAGGAGACGAAGTGCCAGTCTAGGACTTATTCTAATAGACACAGGAGGGCAGACTTTCTACATGTGTTTTCCCTCCTCTCCTTTTCTCACATTGGTCTATATCTAACTTGAAGAAAACAATTTCTATATGAATTTTAAACCCTAGAGGAATTTAATAACAGGAATGTTAATTTTATCTCTTAAATAATGGAGAGAGGTCCTCTGGAGGGTGGGGCTGGGGCTGGGGCTTAGCAGCAGTGGTCACCTGACATCACTGCAGCACTGTGGGGCCAGCACTGGCCTGCATGCATTTCATTGCAGTGTTGTAACAGTCTTGTGCAGGGTTCTGCTACTCTTAGATGTCAATAAATCTACGTGTTTTTCACAGCTAGTGACAGAAATGGAATTAGAATTTGGGATTTAGTTTTAATATGGTAAAAAAGGACCAAGTATCTTATTTAATCAGTTCACTTGAACACTATCTTCCCAGTATAATAGATACAGAAAGCATTGATGACAGAAACATGTTTAACTTTTTTTCTTTCCTAAATTCATTCTTCTTTCACCTGTCTTTTTTTCCAAAAAATTATTACATTTAGTGTGTGTGTGTGTGTGTGTGTGTGTGCGCGCGCGCGTGCATGTATGTCAGCGTGTGCATATGGAGGTGTGAGGACAACTTGTGGAAGTTGGTGCTCTCTTCCCATCAGATAGGTCCTGGGGATTAAACTCAGGTCTTGGCAGCTAGTGCTTCTGTGTGCTGAGCCATTTTATCAGTACTCTCACCCACTTTTTGGTAGTCAGGTAAACACTCTGCCACTATACTTTCTACCCGCTTTAAAAAATTTTTTTTTGATTATTTTTCAAGACAAGGTCTCATGTGACCCAGGCTGTCTTCACACTTCCTATGGATAACTGCTGTGGAATATCCCTTTTGTACAGTAAAGAGCTGACTGGCCAATAGCTAGGCAGGAAAAGGGTAGATGAGAGAGCCAGACTAAGGGACACTGGGGAAAAAGGGCAGAGTCAACAGTGAGATGCAGAGGAATTAGGAGATGAACATGCAGTGCTGAAAAAAGGTACTGCTAGGGGGTAGAGCATGGATAAGAAATATGGGTAAATTTAAGTTGAAAGAGCTAGTTAGTTACAAACCTAAGCTATTGGCTGAACATTTATAATTAATAAATCTTTATGTGGTTATCTGGGAGCTGGGGGTCAGGACAGAAAAGTTGGCCTACACATGACTTTGATTAAAAAAAAAAGACTTATTTGTAAAAATCTGTAAAGGTTTTATTTATGTGTTAAGTGTGTGCCTGCTATATGCTTGTCTGTGTAAGTCGAGACAACAGAGTGCATCATAAACACAGGAGCTGGAGATATGGGCAGTTGTTAGTCACATGATGTATTGGAAATTGAACTTTGGTTCCCTGAAGACAGCAAATGCTTTTGACTGATGAGCTTTTGATCTTCTTGTTGGAATTACAGATGTATACTATCACCAATTTATCTAGCACATGTTAGAAAGCACTTTACCAACTGAGCCATATCCCTTGGTTCTCAAAGTGTCAATGAGAACTGAAGAAAATTAACAAAGGTGGTAGACTGGATGGCTGCTTAGCATTTTCACCATTTGGAGCAAGCTTGTTGCTGCTGTCTTTAAAACTAAGTGATAAACACAAGCAATTTATTTCGGACACTGAGTTACCTCATAAAAGTAAAGTTTTAAAGCATCACTTTTAGTTTTTAAGAGGTGAAAGGGAATTCATTTGTTCAAACCCCAATGTCTAGTAAAGTACTAGAGATTCTTTTAGTTAGGGAAAGGAACAAGGCCAGTGCTCAGGTGTTGCAAGGTTTTGTGTGCAGAGATAGCACTCTCCTAAGATTGTTTCTTGATCTGCACGAGGTTGCCAATCTCTGGCCCGTAAGTTTGGATCTGAGTGATTACTGTGGGGAGGATATTCTTTCTCTACCTGGAAGACAGGATACAGATTTGTAGACTGGACAAGAGTGGTCCAACAGAAACCTATGTGCAATGTGAAAAACCAAACTCAGCATAGAGTGTGGGTGGTCATGGATAAGGCTCTGGGTTCCATCCCTATAGCAAGAATGAATGACCCACTCTAAACTTTGGTACAGATTCTGAATGAAGAGCACTGAGCTCTTTGAGCACTTTTTAACTACAGTAGAATGACTTAATACTATGTCTACTATCATCCAAATGTCCCAGTTCTTTCTATATTGCTGACATAAGTACGTTTAAAGCCAAAACCCCACAAGGTTCACTACATTTTGGCTAGGCTAAATCCTCCCTACCATTAGCTATTTACAAAGTTCTCAGGATTAACATGTTCTGAATTCAGTGCAATGCAGTGAAGGCATCAATGACTATGTATCATGGCTTCAGATCATTAAAGAAATACCTCGGAAAGCCTGAGCTTCATGTTAAAGTCATAAACTGGAATAGAGACTGAGGAGTGAAGAAATGCCCCATCTGTGTGTGATCTTAGGAGTCATTTAACGGCTGTGTTGACTGACACAGAACTCCTGCGGCTGTTACTGACAGATCTGAACACTTGGGACATTCTAGAGACAGACATCTTTTAAATTCACTTCTCCACATTCAAAGAGAAGGGAACAAATAATTTAGGCTTTAAATTTAACAGAACTTACCTATACCGCTCTTCCTGTAAGGTCTGCATTATTAAGGAGTAGTCCCTCTGATAATGTTCCTTGAGGGTCTCGAAGGATTCCTCCAGTCTGGCCTGGGTTTCCCGGATCTCCTGGATCTCATGCAGTAGTGTATCAAACCCTGAGCTCTGCATGTCTAGGGTGTTTGTCTTGGAGCTTGATGCTCCTACACCAATGCCCCCAGTGGTACTATTGGCTCCTACTGAGCCTGAAGTGGCACTAGAACAATCTTCCTCACTACCATATTTTGGACTTGACTGAAAGTTCGAAATCACCCCTAAAGCCTTTCCCCCATCATCCACTTGTCCTTCCTCTAATGAGTCCTTCAGATTAGGGATGTTGTCTGCACTGCCAAATTTGTTCCGAATCAGTGAGGCAATCTCTCTGGGCTTGGAGACCACAGCCCCTGCTGCTGAATGGGTAGCCTGGGAGAAGCTGGAAAATCCACCTTTGACGCTGTCCACCACACCTTCACTGAAGCCAGTCACCTTTGCACCCACATCCTTCAGACCTTGGTGCATGTCCCTGAAGACATCCTTGGGCTGCCGGGGGATCCCATTCTGTTCCACTTCACGGAGCTTGCGGTGGTAATGCTCAAGCTTCTTCTGCAGCTGGAGGATGGTCTGTGCAGATTTCTGGTTCTTCTTCTCAAATACCTGTTTGATGCGAGCAGCCTGCTGCTTGTCTGCACTGTTGGCAAGCTTCAGGTATTCAGCAACATTGTCGTCTCGGGCTGTCTGCGCAATCTTGATCTGTTCTGTTAGCTTTAGGATCTTCTGTTGCAGGTGTGCAATGGCAGCTTTTGTGCGCTGAGGGTCTGGTATTCCATCCACAGACTCTGTGTGGATGCTGCCATCGGTGCTGGAGGCCACGGCACTGGAAGTCTGGGCGAGGCTGCTTACTTCCAAACGCTCGACCTAACATTTTAAAAGCAAGAGGTGAATATTAGAAGCAGTCCAGAATCAATAAGCCAAAACGTGCTGAAAATTTGTTAATGCTCAACTCTCAGCACAGATGGCTGACCTATACAACCCCTGTCCTGTAAAAGCCCTGCTGCCCTCTTGGCTAGTCTTTATATAGTATTTCTTTAAATAACAAAGCCCCCTTTATGGGTTGAAAGCACGAATTAGTTCGCATTCTTATATATACATCTGTTCAGAAGCAAATCCATATAAGATAGCATGTCAGCTTTTCAATGAAATCCTATGAAAATCATCTGAGCCACACTCACAGATTGGTCCCCTGAAAATGCTAGCAAGAATAGAAAGGTTGATACTGAGATAAAAGCATCCAATTGTTACCACAATGTTTGTTAGTTTTAAATCACACCCAGGATAATGAGATCATTCCCTATTCTTGGGACATTTTGCTGCAGTGGGAAACAGAGGCTAGATTGGGGAGGTGCTGCTGAATGCTTCTGAATTAAGTTAACTGTGGTGTACCCAGGAAGATGGTATGAATAGACAGGGGCAGTGAGAGGTTAAGTGATTAAACAAATCAGAGACTAAGGTTAGATCTTTTTAAGCCCCAATTTTGTGTTTTATACAATAAAAGGTTTGCCTTGGGTAAGGAACTACAATTAGAAAGCTCACACACTGTCGTTTCATATGGGAGAGTGTCACTAAAAGGAATGGAAGAAAGGACAATTGCTTAGACTTGAAAGCTTGAACTCCTTCCTACACGTCAAAGCAGTTAGTTAGCTGAGGCTGGAGGAGGACAGTGTTCTTACACCCTAGGGGTATACTTCAGTGGTGAAGTACTTGTCTAGCACATAGGAGGCCCTGGGTGTGATGCCTAAGACTGAGAAAACAAAACAGAACACCACCACCACCACCACCACCACCACCACCACCACCACCACCACCACATTTTCCTATTTCAATGATACTGTTGGGGTTAGGAATGCAGATCAATGGAAGAGCCCTGCTTCCCACCCCCGCACAGCAAGATACAAACCTTGAAGGAGACTAGTACAGTGCCTTTTGCATTACTTCCTCCAAATGCTGATTCACCTTTGAGAAGCAGTCACTAGAGACTGCAGAAGGGACAGGCAGTCAAAGTCCCAGATGGACAAGGCCTCAAGAGCCTCAGTAACAGCTCTAAAAATCCTTGTTCTTAAGTGCTCCAAGATATTTAGTATCTTATAACTAAGGTGCATAATACCATTCTGCTTATCTATGTCCAATAATTAAGATCAAATTATACTGCAGAATATATAAAACAGTGCTATGAAGAATCTTCAAGCAAGCTGCTCTATGTTCAAGTTCATGAATCTGTGGGATCAAAACTAATCATGCTGGGAGTTAGGGACATGGCTTAGTGGGTAATGGCACATACTGGAGTCAAAGTTGACAACCTGAGTTCTAGTCCTGGGAAAGAGTGGTGGAAAGAGTTCTGATCTCCACATAGGCTGTGGCATGTTTGTATATACTCCCAACCCCCACAAACAAATGAATCTAACAACAATAACAACAAAAACAACAAAAGAAATTGATCAAACTGGTGAAAATATTGTTAGAGAAGGCTGAAAAGATGGTTCAACAGTTAGGGGCATTTGTTGTAGACCTGGGTTCAGTTCCTAGCATTTACATAGTGGCTTAAAACCATTTGTCATTACAAGGGCATTGGACATGCATATGGCACAAATACACATAGGTAAAACATACATAAAAAATAAAAATAAATCTAAAAAAGTTTAAAAATACTATTAAAGACTAGAATCAAAGTTCAACCACTTAAAAAGAAACCACAATAATTTTCAATATATAAATGTTTATAAATGATTGCACTTTGGTTAGAATTGTTTCTCTATAAAATAATTAAATAAAACATATTCTCTTTACTCTGATTCCTGTCCTAGCTGAGGCCAGTGTGTCTTCCCATAAAGAGTTCCCAGAGAGACATCACCATGCCTGTAAGAGGACAGCTGACACTGGAAACTGGAACTTATTGGAATACCCAGTAATACCTCCCAATTGCGAAAGGTACCCATTTTAAAAGGGGAGAAACTCAGAAATGGAGCAGGAACCAAGGTCTAAAGGGGAAAGTCTGTGCTCTAACTATGGGAACCTGACCTGAGGGCATGACTATCAATCAGAAAATAGTTCCTTTGCTGCACATGAGGTTGGATATAACACACAGAACTGGGTCTGTAACTCATTCCAAACAACTCAGTTCCAAATGTGAAAAAGTTTACAAAGGTGATACTAAAATATTCCCTCCCAAGGGTGGGGGGTAGGAGAGGGCAGAAGATCTAATCCCTTACTGATGTGGGATTCCCCTCTGTATGCTGTGAATTTTATCACCATTGGTTCATAAAGAAGCTGCTTTGGCCTACGGAAGGGCAATAGCCAGGCAGGAAATCTGAACAGAGACACAGAGAAAGAGTAGGCTGCGGAGGTGGGGCTACTTGCTGCATACAGGGTCTAAGAGCCAACAAAAAACCAACAAAAGCAGGCCCTCCTCCAACACTGTTCTGTATTCTTGTCTCTTGCAAGAAAAGTAACGTTGAGAGGACCAACTTGTACAACAAGTATGAGAGGTTGAGTTTAGATTTTAGCACCCATGTAAAAAACTGGGCATGGCTGCATGAATTCCTTTAACCCCAGCACTGGTGGGGGCATAGACAGGAGGATTGCTGGTGTTTGCTGGATGACCCCAGGTTCTGTGAAAGATCCTGTCTCAAGGGAAGGAAGCAGAGAGTGTCACTTCCTCTGGTCTCTACATGAGCCCACACCTACACACACATGTATATATATATATCACTCACACACATATACATACTCCAAAAATAAAAAAATAATCTCTAAGCGTTCAATACTAACCAGCAGGTGTAATTCTTACTTGATAATTGTTTTGTTATATGTAATTTTGCTATGTTAAAGTTAAACTTTCATTTTTTTTTATTTAAATAGAAAGGGAGAGGTGATGTTGGAGTGTGCTGTGATTACCATTAATGAATAAAGAAACTGCCTTGGCCTGTTGATAGGGCAGAACTTAGGTAGGCAGGGAAGAGGGGACTGAATGCTGGGAGAAGGAAGGTGGAGAAAGAGACACTATGGATCCGCTGCCAGAGATAGACGTGCTGGAACTCTGCTGGTAGGCTACGACCTTGTGGTGATATAAGGATTAATAGAAATGGGTTAATTAAGATGAAGAGTTAGCTGATATATATATAGTTATAGCTAATGGGCCAAGCGGGGATTTAATTAATACAATTTCTGTGTGATTATTTCGGGCTTAGCTAACAGGGCAGCTGGAAACCAACAAAAGCAGGCCCTCCTCCAACACTGTTCTGTATTCTTGTCTCTTGCAAGAAAAGTAACGTTGAGAGGACCAACTTAATATATAATATATAATCTCAGGACCCAGGAGGACTGTTGCAAGTTCAAGGTTGGCCATGTAGTCAGTTCTGGACTAGCTAGGGCTACATGGTAAGACCCTACCTCAACACATATGTGCCTGCCCCCAAATTAATATTTTTGTTTTGGCTTTAATTTTTTTCCTGTCTTTAAAGATTAAAACAATATTTTAGTTTTTACTTATAAGTAAAAAATACATATGTGTATGTATGTGTCAATGAAGGTGCCTGTGGAGTCCAGAAGAGAGTATCAGATTTTCTGGAGCTAGAGTTACAAGTAATTATTGAGTTGCCTGATGTAGATGCTGGGAACCACATTCAGGTCCTCTGTAAAAATGGCAAGTGCTCTAAGTTTTTATTTTTAAATTACATTTAATTACTTATTCTTATTTATATTCTGCCTATCCATCTATCCATGTCTTTCTCTGAGGATGTATATTTGTATGTACCATGGACATGTGTGGAGATCAGAAAACAGCTTGTGGGAGTTGGTTATTTTCTTATTATCATGTGAGTACTGGGGATTGAACTCAGGCTACAAGGTTCATGGCAAGTGCCTTTACCTGCTAATCCATATTGCCAGTTCTTTTTAAGTTCTTTATAAGCTAGTCTCCTTTGCTTATTGAAATGTCTATTTTACAGAATGAAATGCTGCATGAGCCAAGAAAAGTCAACTGAGATGATTACCTTAAGTGCTGCAGCTCTGCCTACAACAGACTTAAGAAGGCAATGTTCTCCAACCATCTTACCTGGCCAGCAGATCTATCCCCCAACTCTGCTCTCAAATCACTATCTTCAGTACAAGTTCTGTCTGGCTTATAGAATATTAGCTCTTTGTAGAAATCCCATATTCTACACACTAAACAATACACATCACTTCTTCATGAAGTAAAAGAAGACAAAAGCAGATAGAAGTGGGCTATAAAGATAGCCTCTTGATATCCTTACCAGTCCAGAGGGACTTTGGTTAAAAGCAACACTCCTATAAAGCCAACATAGTCTTAGAATTTTAAAACTTTTCTTTGGTGGAGATACCATGGTATACATGTGGAGGTCTGACGGCAGCTTTTGGGAATCAGTTCTCTCCTGCCATGCAAATCCTGGGGGACTGAACCTAAGTTCAGCTGTCAGGTTAGTGCCAAGTGTCCACTGAGCCACCTCACCAGTTTTCAGCCAACATAGTCTTATTTGCTTGTACAGTCACTGATGGGATTGAATTTGCTCTGTAGACTGGCCTCTGTAAAGTTTTTCTTAAAAGAAGAATAAGTAGCAGGCAGCTATAGCTTCCTTAAGCCCTGAAAGTGGGCCATGAAGTAGACCTGGCAGTGCTGATGGTAGCTGAGTTTTGTGTTAGCGGGCACAATCGGTCCTGTGTGAGGAGTAGGAAGCATCAGCTGTAGGATCTCCAATGGATGCTCTATACTTGAGCTCCTAATCTGAACTGATGTCAACCTATAATCCTAGCACTAGGAAGACACTAGGAAGAGGAACACTGAAAGTTCAAAGGCAGTCTAGTCTATATAGAGAATTTTAGGTCAACCAGAGTTAGAGTAAGAC